CCACGGGCTCGAACTCACAAACCGTGAGATCATGACCTGAGCTGAAGTCGGACACTTAACCGACTGAGCCTCCCAGGTGCCCCAAGAGCATGCGACATTTAATCTCAGCGTTGTGAGTTTGAGCCCCACGTTGGGTGTAGAGATTCCTTAAAAATAAACAAATTTTGGAGTGAGGTATACAAGCTCCAGCATGTGTAAATCCTACGCATGCAACTCAGTGAACATTTGCACCATGTAAGCACGTCCCAGTAAGACCCTAGGTCCCCTTTCCGACAGACCTCCAGCAAGAGGCCGATACAGCGCATGGACAGTGATGCGACGGCTGGGGGGAGATGGGGGCCTGGTTTAGAGGATGGGTCTGTTTGGGCTACACTGAGAGGGAGATACCTCCCGGCAGGAGACCCCTGCCATTTCCCCCTGGCTTGGCCTCCGTCCGGGTATACAAACAGTCTTGTTGGGGAGAGATTGAAAACCTATCTGGATGTGGACACAGGGTTTTCAATACTCCATTCATGGGGCCCAGAACAGCCCCCAGTGGAATAATCAGCTTTTGTATTCCCTCTGCCTGACCCGGGACAGCTGGGAGATGGGGACTGAGGACTCCAAGGAGGTGTAGTCACGGGCCTGTCTTTGCTGAGGGACTCCATAGTGATCTGGGCCCGCCCCTGCTTCACCCCTGGGACCCTTGGTGGAAATGAGACTTAACTGTTCCCTGCCCTCCGGGAACTGTGACTCTCTGAAGCTCTCACACTCCCTCCTTTTGTGTGTTATTAGTTCATCTTCTGCCTTTACAGGGCGGGCCAGGCAGCACAGCACAGTGGTCAGAAGCATCAGTTCCACCACCAACCAGCTCTGTGATCTCACCTCACTAAGCCTCACTATTGTAATCTGTAAAATGGGGTTAGTAATATACTTAGCTCTGACGATTGTGGCTAGGTCAAAGGAGCTAAAGTTTGGGGTTTTTGTTTTTTTTTTCCTAAATGTTTACCTATTTTTGAGAGACAGCACAGCAGGGGAGGGGCAGAGAGAGAGGGAGACAGAGGATCTGAAGCTGGCTCTGTGCGGACAGCAGAGTGCCCAATGCAGGGCTCAAACTCCCAAATCGTGAGATCATGACCTGAGCCAAAATTGGATGCTTAACCTACTGAGCCACACAGGTGCCCCTAAAGAGCTAAAGTTTATAGAAGGTTTAGCCCAGTGCCTGACCCACCGTATGTGTGGGAGCTACTGCTATTGTTACTACTATCTGTGGACCTTTTTTGGGGCAAGTGCCAGATCTTGTTCAATGGCACCATCTGGCACAGGGTGGACACTCAGGAAATGTTTGTTGAATGACTGAATGAAGTTTAGGGCTGCAGAATCATAGAATGAAGCAGTCAGAGGGGCCCGGGATATCATCAAGGGCAATTCCACATCCGACCAGTAGAAAACTTGTCATCCTCCCTCTCTCCCTCTCTCTCTCTCTCTCTCTCTCTCTCTCTCTCTCTCTCTCACACACACACACACACACACACACACACACACACACACACACACTAGCAGAATTGAAGTATTCATACCTGGGTGAATGTTGGGCTCTTTCTGTCCCTTCTTCCACGGTCTATCCAAGGTTAAATCTCAAATCACTTTTTCTGCCCCCAGTAGTTTAGGAGGGGGAAGAATCCCCCAAATGCAAATCAGCACAGTCCTTTCTTCTTTCCTTTCCAAAGCTGGAAGATAAGCTGAGGCCAAGTCCCCGTCCATGGAGCTCACTCGTGGCCCCAGCCTGTCCCCACCAGACCTCAGGGGCAGAGGGAGGCAAAGGGAGAGTGGAGGTGACCCGCACAGTCTGGAGCAGCCCCAGAGAAGGGACATCCAGGCAGAGGAGGAGCTCCCAGCTGCAGGGGTGGGGGGGCGGCGCAGGGGGGGAGGCAGGCGTGGATTCCCAGGGCCAGGCAGCCCCTCCTTCCCCTTCCCCCTACCCCCAAGGCTCAGGTTTCAGAAAGGCAGCTCTGCCAAGCATCCCTGAGCTCCTGCAACAGCCCTGCTCCAACTGTTGCCGCCTGGGAGTCCCCTTGATTAAGCCCTGACCCACGTCCCACTGGGGGGTTGGAAACATGGTCACAGGAGCCAGAGTGTATGCGGTGGGCTTCGCGTTCAGGCAGGGCCCTGATCTTGCTGCTGATTGTGCCTTGCTGTTGTTCCTCTTGAGTTACCCTTTGAGCTTTGGGGCTGTTGTAGTTATAGGTGACAAGAAGTGGCAGGAGGCTTATTCTATAGTTTGCAGCTCCCATGAAATGCTGTGCTAGAATTCTGCACCTTCCCACTGGAACAACAAACTCTCAAAGCTGAAGCGCCTCTCGCCTCCGCAGGGCAGTGCACCCACATCAGCCCCGGGGCCACTTTAAAAATATATACAGATTCCTTGGGGGCACCTGGGTGGCTCAGTCGGTCGAGCGTCTGTCCAACGTCCACTCAGGTCATGATCTCGCAGTTCATGAATTTGAGCCCCACATCA